CCCACATACCTCGAAGAGTACTGTAATAGTCACTAAGACTTTGGTCACCTTTCTGTAAAAGTAACATTCTCTTATAGAGTTGATAAATTCGAGAAATATTTTAATCAGAAGAGTACATCTCATGTACTCTTACAATATAAAAAAAATGACATTAACCCTCACATGGGGTTCCATACTATTCCATAACCAGGTCATAATTTGATAGTTTTCCTTAAGCCATTTATCATACCTATTATTTGACTCTTTTGGCCTATCTTTAGTCAGAAACTTCATCTCTCCCCTTGCACCTAGAAATACCTTTATAGACTGGGCCCATAAGAGGTAATTAAGCCCATTTAATTTCTTAGTAGTTGCTGGAATTTCTATCATGTCACTAATAGTAGAAATTCAGGCTTACTTTCTTCAGCTATAAGGGAAAGATAATAACACAAAAAGTTATGCAAGAATATATCAGGCCGAGCACAATTAGGAGCCCTAAAACACTAAATTGAACTTTATAAATTCACTGAAGCACAAAAACAGCAGTTTGCAAGGCAAAGGACTGCACATCTAACTATTTTCAATCACTTATAAAGAGAAAACTTATCATTCATGTATCGATTATCTCCAACAGGACTCCAATTGCGTCAGTCACACACTTTGAGATATTTTAGCAACTCTTCCTCTTGTTTTTGACATCCAAGAGAGGAAACTTGAACAACATAAACATTCACAGCACGTGCAGGCATTCATATTGGCCCTGCACACACAAAAAAACTGGATACCAATGAGATTAGGGTTTTCCTACTTCATTTTTTCACGCTTTTTTATTTTGAAAAGTACAAGGAAAGGAGATCAATTCATATTTGCTTTAATACCATGTGAACAGTGTCATAAACAGTACCATGAACAGTAAGAACTAGAGAAGGGAGAGAAAAGATGAAAGAAAAGAGGGAGAGATGTGTAGACTAATTGCATAGCCCACATGCACCTCTTAAACTTTATTTGTAATAATTGGAGGATAATATTACAAAAATGCCCTTTAAATACTTTAGTAAAACCTAAAATTTATAAAAAGGACAAAGATATCCCATGGTACATTCAACACTCATAACCACATGATGGTTTAATCTTTAACAAGATTAAATGTTGGGCGGTCAAGAAACGACACATCAATGAATGTAGATGAGATCAATGTTAACATTATTAAAAAAACCAACAAAATGAATGTAGACGAGATGAGAATATTATGATGGATGAGTGGCAAGACAAGAAAGAATAGAATTCAGAATGCATACATTCAAGGTAACTTAGCTCCAGTAGGCAATCAAATGAGGGAAAGTAGACTTAGGTGGTCTGGTCATGTGCAACATTGACCTAGAACCACATCGTTTAGGAGGGATGATTTGATTAAAGTGGAAGGCTCTAAAAAGGGCAAGGGGAAGGCCACAAAGGACATGGATGAAAGTAGCCACAAAAGTTATGTTACTTATGATCTGACTTAGGGTATGGCCTTTGATAGAGCAAAATGACAGAACATGATTTGTGTAACTGAGCCCAAATACCTGGGATAAGGCTCGGTTGATGATGATATTTGAGTCTTATCCCAACTATTTGTGCATATAGCTTTATGTGTGTAACTTTGTATGCATGTACATCTATTATAATTATTTGTCTGTATAATTTGATATTATGCTGATCATTGAATAACCTTTGTTTGAGTAACTAAAACATTGTTTGAGTTTTTTTTTTGAGTGATAACCGAGGAGGTTTAAATTTTTTATGATGATATTGAGAGAGGACTTTTTTAGAAGGGAACGTAAATAGTCATGTAGGGAAGGATAGTAGAGGATATGAAGGGGTATTTCAGGGACACAAGTTTGGTGAAAGAAATGAGATGGGTGAGGTTATTGCTATGGTCTACGATCTAACAATATCAAACACTTACTTTAACAGGTGAGATGAACATTTAATAATTGATAAAATTGGATCATATAAAAGCCAAATAGACTTCTTACTATTTAAGAAGGTAGATCGAAAATCGTGTAAAAAAATTGTAAGATTATCCCAGGAGAGAGTTTGACTACGCACCGTAGGCTCATAGTTATGGACGTCTACATAAAGAGATAGAAGACACATGATGAAATTAATAGGTGTCCATGAACTAGGTGATGAAATTTAAAAAATGAGAAAATATACTTATTTAGGGATAAATTAGTTAAAGAAGGAAAATAGAACTCCGGACATGAGGTCAATGTTATGTAGAATGAGATGGCCCAATGTATTAAGAAAGTGGCAAAAGAAGTTTTAGGAGAAACTAGAGAGAAAAAAATTCCGATAAGGAAACTTGGTGGTAGAGTGATGAGGTTAAGAAGGCCATTAGCGAAGAATGATCATGTTCTTGAACTTGGCAGTGTAATAGAAATGATCAAAACTTAGAAGAATATGAAAATGCTAAGAAAAAGCTAAACAAATAGTAAGGCTAGATTTAAAGTATATGATAATTTATACAGTAAACTAGAAACAAGAAAAAGTAAAAAAAAATGTCTTCAAATTAGCAAAAATGAGAGAAAGTATAGGGATCTAGACCATATTAAATGCATTTAATCAGTAAGGATCAAAGAGTCTTGGTGAAGGATAAAGACGTCAGTGAAAGGTGGAGAGTTTATTTTTAAAAATTATTAAATGACAATAATGGGAACATAGTGGTGAAATGAACCATTGGCATAAATGAGGGTGGAGGTCATAGTACCAAGGTATCAAGAAGCGCTAGGTGGCCCCTAGGCTGCCAGCCTAGCGCCTAGCGCCCAAGCGGGCGCCCAGATCCTCAGGCGCCCTGTAGTGGAAAATTTTACATTTTTAGCCTTGTACATTTGCTATGCTAATGTACATATATGCATATATTTGTGTCAAATTTTGTAATTTATTCCATTTCGCAACATACGTTTTACTTTGGGGGTTCAAAAATAAACCTCATAACTTTTTATACAGATGTGGGGGTCAAAATGACCCATTCTGCCCATTTGGGCGAATTTAAAAAGCAATTTCTGCCTGACTTCACTGGGCGCCCAGGTAAAATACTCGTTTCGGGCGCCTTTTCATGAGGTGTGCGATTTTTTGTTAAAAAATGCCTAGGCGCTCGACAGACCCTTTTTTTAAACAATGCATAGTACAAATGCATAGTACATTCGTAGGATTAGTGAAAGAAGCTCTGAAGAGGATGAGATAGGAAAGGCATTAGGACCAGATGGTATCATGATGTGGAGGTTTGGAAGTGCATGGGGGAGATCAACATTGACTAGCTGACCAAGCTGTTCAACGAGGTGTTGATTACAAAGAAAATACCAGATGAATGGAGGAAAAGTATTGTCATACCTATTTATAAGGACAAATAAGGCAAACATGATTGTGCGAACTATCGAGGAATCAAACTTATGAGCTAAACTTTAAGCTGTGGGAGAGAGTGATTGAGCAATGACCAGGAATGAAGTGAGTGTATCAAAAAACCAATTCGGTTTTATGCCAGGGAAGTCAACAATTGAGGTTGTTTTCCTACTTAGGTAATTGATTGAGAAGTTTAGGACGAAGGGCAAAGACCTCCGCGTGGTCTTTATTGATCTAGAGAAAGTTTATGATAAAATACCTCGAGATTTAATTTGATGGGTATTGGAAAAGAAATGAGTCTCCAAATACTATATTGAGTTGGTGTGCGAACAACTAGTGGAAAGGTGAATGAGTTTTCAATGGTAATAGGTCTATATTAGGGGTTAGTGTTGAGCCCCTACCTCTTTTTTTAGTTATGGACGTCTTAACTAGGTACTTATAAGATGAGGTACTGTGGTGTATATTATTCGCGGCGACATAATTTTGATCAATGAGATCTGACGCCGTGTCAATACAAAGAACTTTGGAGTGATGCTCTAGAATCTAAAGGTTTTAAAATTAGTTGGAGTACGACAAAGTATATAAAATGCAAGATTAGTAATAATGGGAATAGAAACGAGGAAGTAGTTAAGATTGACATCCAAGAAATACCAAAAAAATCGTACTTTCGATATCTTGGGTCAATAATTCAAGAAGTGGAGAGATTGACGAAGATGTCGCACATAGATTTAAAGTTGGGTCAGCGAAGTGGAGATGTGCAACCGGAGTTTTATGTGATTGTCATATACCAATGAAGTTGAAGGGGAAGTTTTATAGGACAACTGCGAGACCGGCTTTGCTTTATGGGGCAGAATGCTGAGTAGTTAAGAAATGACATACCCATGAGATGAGTGTAGCTGAGATGACAATGTTGAGATGGATGAGTGGCATGACAAGAATGGATAGAATTCAAAATGAATACATTTGAGAGAGCTTAGGTGTGGCTCCAATAGGTGATAACATGAGAGAAAATAGACTTAGATGGGCTGGAGATATGCAGTGCAGATCCAGTACTACACCTATTAGGACGTGCGAGTTGGTTCAAGTGGAAGGTTAAAAAAGGGCAAGGGCAGGCCCAAAAGGACATGGTTGGAAGTATTGGGAAAAGATATTGAGACTTATGACCTCACTGAGGGTATGACTCTTGATAGAGTAGAATGGTGGACTAGGATTCGTGTAGCCGACGCCAAATAGTTGGAAAAATGCTATGATGATGATAATTGATAAAATACTAAAAATTATACTGAAATATTTGGCCTCATTTATCTATTCAAAGAACAAGTTAGCTTGTTGACGGTTCGCTTGATTCATCCCCATCTAGATTACGCTTGTTTTAGTCCCAGATGTGTGATTTCCATGATGATCTGCAAATAACCAGAGAATTTCGTCAAATAGTTCTAAGGCCCATAGTGCTATAAAAAAGACTATAACTATTCTATGTACTGAATCTTGCAAGTGTGCAAACGAAAAATGTGGGTTCTCCAAATCACTCTTGTGGTGCACACTTGGTTTGTTTAAAAATGCTTCATTGTCTTGTTGTTTATATATTTTCTGAGGGCTTTTAAACATTTTCATCATTGGATTCTTGACAATTTCAGATCTTCCGAGTGATTCAAAAGGAAAACTGGTACAAGCCTGATGTATATTTGTACAAGGACCTTATCATTGCACTTGCCAGGAGTAAAAGGATGGAGGATGCAATGCAAATATGGGAATGTATGAGGAGAGAAGACTTATTTCCAGATTCTCAGACTTATACTGAAGTCATAAGGGGTTTTCTAAGGTATGGTTCACCTGCCGATGCAATGAATATATATGAGGATATGAAGAACTCTCCTGAGCCACCTGAAGAATTACCCTATAGAGTTTTACTGAAAGGGCTTCTTCCACATCCTTTATTAAGAAATAGAATCAAGCAAGACTTTGAAGAGATGTTTCCAGATAGACATGTTTATGATCCTCCTGAAGAGATCTTTGGTCTTCGTTGAGGTAAGATATAGTGTTGTTTTCAGATCATGTTCGTGCTTCAATAGATGATACCTCTTTATTTTTAAGCGTTTTTATTTTTGTTCAATTTAATGGCAAGATTGTGCAGTATATGATAAATTAGGATTTCTAATCATTGCCAAGAACAGATCTTAATTGTCACGCTCTCAAGGTTGAGTTTAATTTGCACTCTTTCTTGAGTGCAGTTTAGTTTTAGACTTGTCATGCAGCATCCATTTCCTTTCAGACAAGATCGTAAACCAACTAATGATAAATTGTAGGCATTATTGATTATTTATGACGAGAGCAGATTCCAGTGTTACTTGGACACTTCCGTTTTTGCTTGCTGTCCCGTACTGTCCCGTCCCGTCCCGTCCTGTCCCGTCCCGTCCCGTGTTGACACTTAGACACATATTGACGTGCACAGACACGTCATTGATATTTGATGTGTTGGTTGAAGTCGTCACATTTCTGAGCATGTATTGAGATATTTGTTAGAAGTATCTTGAATTTTTTTGTTGCTAATATATGATGGTGTACATGGTAGAGCGAGCATCCAAAGGGCTAAGGAATTGGCGTGCGAATCTTGGCAACAAACTTTTCTTTTTTTTCCTTTTAATTATTTTAATTTATTTAAAAGAAAATAAATCATTTACACAATTATCTTTTAAGTTAGCAAAGCCATGGTTCGAGCCTAAGAACTCTTGTTCCTAAAACAAGAGATCTACCACTCCATCTCTTTGAGATTCTTTGCAAAAGAAGGCATTGTATTATATGTAAAATATAACAAATCTTATTCAAAATTTACATAATTTACATAACAAAATCTTATTCAAAATAAAGAAATACCAAAACATTGGGGATTGATCACATGACCTCTTGCGCATGAGCTCGAGTGGAGCCAAGCTGCGACCTCAACCACTATGATGTTTCCACGGTAATGTCAATAAGTAATTATAATAAAATATTATTTGTACACACATGTTAGGAAGTATTTGACTTTTTGGGATTATGTACTAGGTATCCCTACAAATGCTAAATACTCGCATATGTTGGTATCCATGTTACATTGCCATATTCAGGTACTCTTTATGTCTTAAATTCATTTACATTTTTTTTTTTGTAGCCAGTTCTTGAAGAATACAAGTACAATGGTACATGTTAATCATGCGTTGGGATTAATATGTAGCTGGCAATCTCTGCTAAATGAATTATTTTAATTATGAAAAGAATTCTTGTTTATTATAATATTTTATCTTTCTTTGTTTTCTGGATTTCACAATGTTTTTGAATGTTTCTTGGGGCCCATTGAGTAGTTCAATACTCAAAAGTTGTCTATTCTTATTTACTTAGTAGTTAAAATGGAAGATAGTCAGCAGATATGGTTGGCTAGGGTTCCTACATTTGTGTCCCCCGAAGCATGAACCATCCATCCAAGATGGATGGTAGTCCCGCCAAAAAAAAAATAACATCGATGGTCTAAATACTCTTTCAAAAAATTATTTGAGGCCTCCATTGTGAACCATTTTCTATAAAATTTGGGTGCATTAATGCAAATTTTTGTCAAATTAGGTCGATTTCAATCAAATTGAGGTATGTAATTTGATCCACATTGCTTCAATTCGCAGATCTATGTGTATCATGATTTACCATTTCCCTTTTTATTTATTTATTTATGAGTTTCTCTGTGGTTTCATGGAGTTTTGAAAAAACCGCCATTATTTTGATTATGGGCTTGATGTTGAACCAGTTTCTATAAAATTTGGGGCATTTTGAAGCAAATCATGTTCTTCACAAAATTGTGGAGTTGATTTATCTGATTAAATAAGCATTCTAGTTCGATTTTGCGAGAATACATCTTGATACGTTATAGGGTTTTCAGAGTAATTATTTTTAATTTATTTTGCTGAATTAATTTAGGGATTTTTGCCAAATATAGGTTCTTGATACATACAGTATAAGAATACATATTTTTTGTAGTTGTATTCAATTTTATCTCGTGAATTTACAATTTTCATGGGAAAAAACTTGCATTTTTTAATTTTATCTTTACTGTTTTTAATGTAATAAAATGTAAATTTTGTGCATGTATGATTTTGTGCATGTATGAGAGTTGAGATTTTTCGCCTGTGTCAGTCATGAGTTCCACTCAATGCTCTTTGTAATTGGGATTCCTTTGTGTAGAATTATAGTGTGCCATTTTGTTGAGAATATGTTAGTATTTTTCACCTGTACTAGTATCAGTGTTACACTTGGTTCCTTTGTCTAGAACTATAGTATGCTATTTTTTTTGTTTGCATGTTATAGGGAGATTTGTAAAAACAAAAATTTGAAGTGTATATGAGTTCACCCAATGAATTGTCAAGAGAATTCAAGGAGATGCATCAACATGATGACCACCCAATGAATTGTCAAGAGAATTCAAGGAGATGCATCAACATGATGACGAGGAAGAACGGCGTTGCCTTTCATTTTGATATTAAGTTATATTTTAATTGTTGTATGGTCATTTTAGACTTTGTATATCTAACTTTGACTATTATAAATTCTCTTTTTTTTCAATGATATGAATGAATAAATAATAAACATCCAAATAAGAAAATATTTTTGTATTCACGTTTTTTTATAAAATAATGAAAGTTCATAATGCATCACTCTTAATTATTTTTGAAAACTTAAAAAACATTAGTTTTAGAATTTTTTTGTGATATTTTGATATTTTTTTTGGGACTTAAACATACTGATCCACGCAATTCTTTGATTCAGATCACCAATCTGCTATTCCGACATAATTTTGTGGTGCCCAATCCTAGTCGTTGATCTGTTTTTAAACCTTGAGTGGGATGTTAAAAGACACGAGGACAGGGCCATTGAGACGTTAGAAAAATACAGAGGGACGTTTAATCCCACATTATGAAATCGAAGTGGTGTTAGATGGGCTGTAAATAAAGTGAAGGTTGAGGCACGCGCGGTGGCATAAGTAGCCCGCAAGGGAAAAGTGGGATGGGGCCACACGGCTGCCCTGGTGTAAACCCGACAATGTTCAAAGTTCAAAGAACTAAGAATTCTAGTGTTTACATCGTGGGTTCCCGATAAATTACGGGAACTAGAATGTCCAAGATGATTTTCAATCTGGATTCAACAATTCCACCTCAGATTGGCAATTTTTAAAATACTAATTCAAGCTGAACAACCATATCTTCTTTTTTTTTTTTTTTTAAAGATGATCAAATGGTAATTGATATCAATATTTTATATAAAAAAAAAATGTATGAGGAAGCAAGTTTAGAGTGGCTGGATTGTATAAAAAAAAAAAAACAAAAAGCAGCCAACACGTGCCAAAAAGATGTATCAGTTTAACAAGAGCCTATTGCACAAAATCTACAAGACTTTTTTTTTTAATTTCCTTTTGAGTGATGACACTATGATACTCTTTCACATCCATGTGAGTAAATATCACTATTAAATTTTGTTCCAGATTTCTAAAAAAATTATCACGAGTATGAGATTTGGATGAATAGATTTATTGATAATTTTTTTAAAAATCCGTTTCAAAATTTAATGATAATCATTTGAAATCTTATTCACATGGGTGTAGAAAGGTCTCATAGTATCATTACTCTTATTTTTCCTAGTATCATTACTCTTATTTTTTCCTTATAGCTCTGAATAAGAATTTTCTTGTGCTTATTTGGCACGGGCAAGACTGGACCTAGGCCAGGCATCTGCGCCTTCTGCCACGCCTGGCCCTATAGCTCTCGAATAAGAAGATACGTGTAACAATGGATATACAAATTATCTAAACCGCATTACTTCAATGTCATCACCTTCCCATGAAATAATGGCAAGGCGATCTAATGAGAGCAGGGTCCATCAAAACAATTCCAGAAAATGGTGCCAAGCCAAAGAAATTAAACCCCCTCCTTTCGTTTCTCTACCATACCACTCTTATCGAATTTCACTTCGTTTGCTCTCTATACCCACCAAGACAAAAAGTAAATAGATTGAAATAAAACCACCAACAGTCCCGCCAGCACCGCCCAGAATGAATATCGAGGAAAGTGACATACTCCAAATCTTCAAACACATTAAAGCCCTCCATTCCTGCTAATCTGATGAGCATTGCAATTTGTAACATTATAGAGCGTGTGATCCATAACAGTGAGAGCATAAAGGGGAAGATTAAAGAAACAAACAACAGAAGATGATGACAACTGGGTTGAATTTTTCCTCTTTTTTAAATTTTGAGTACAAGAGGCCAAACAAGTTCAACTTGTCTTTTGCCATATCGCTTAGCAACCAGCAGAACTATATATAAAGTGAGCAATCAGCTGTGTGTGATTTGAGGCACAAACCTATTAAGTCTGAATGCTAAGACCTCTCTCATGTAGAGGTCAATTACCTCATCACTAGGAGAAAGCTCAGATTACAGATTGGCTGAAACTATAATCTGAAACTATAATCTGTGCAGTTACATAATATGACGTTGTGACAAGGACCAATTACATAACATGAAATTGTGACAAGGAAAATTATTATCATCCGAACCTTATCCCAACTATTTGGAGCAAGCTTCATAAAAAGTTGTGGTCAAATTTTACATTGACTGTCCACCTAATACCGCCTCCTTTATCTTGGAACAAGCATAATCAGCTTGGGACTAGCCATCGCAGAATTTGACAAGGCAAATAAAATTGTATTATTTGGTGAAGATATCTACCAACTTTTGTCACAGCTTCAATAGCTTTATGTGGGTAAAACCTTTCTAACAACACGTCTCATTGTAAACTGATATATAATGTAACTAGTTAGTTTCAATAGTACTTTCCAAGTAGAGACTATAGCATGGGTACGTAAGGACAGAAAGGGCACTGCTGCATGTGTGTCTGAGAGAGAGAGAGAGAGAGAGGGGGAGGGGATCTATTTTCTCAGATAATTGTCGCTTTTCCACACATTGGGAGAAGAAAAATGGAACAAATCACTTCATTTTTTTTTTATTTTTATTTCAAATAGTTTGCTCAAATTATGAAAATAGATATAGCAAAACACCAGTTTAATCAGTCAGAATTATTGTATTTCCTATCAGATGCGGAAACAAATTCAACTTTGAAGTTTGAACAAAATTAATACAATTCTGAATGGCTACTCACCAAGCCTGAGCTAGGAATTCGATTTTCCGGCCTGCAGAGCTTGGATCTTCTGTTGTAGCTTCAAGATCTGAGTAGTACGTATAAAATAAGATGGCACCCAGAAGCTCAGTCTCTCAAGCATTTCTATGTTTGTGTGCATGCACAGGTAAAAATAAATGATCACATCTATCTCAAAATAAAAAGAAGGGTTGCATAATTTTCTTAAGGGCAAGAATAATAATTGATGCATGTCATCATGGATTGAGAATGGGATAAAACCAAGACAACTTACACAGAAATGTGTTTGCCAAAGAAAGTTTGGGAAGTCTTTCTGGATGGCTAGCCCGTCAACATTAAACGTGTCCTAAAAGGTGTACCCATCAGCTGAATAAGCCTCCTCTTTTCTCGAGTACCTCTCTCTCTCTGAGTTTAAATTTAATGAGCCGAATCTCTTAGTAGAACTTTTAAAAAGCGATGCCTGTGCTAGCACTTTTTAGTTTGCGCATGATTTCAAAACATTTAAGAACAAACCGAAGCCCAAATATTAGTAAACTGTGTGCCTGTGTTTTTGGACCGCAGAAGAATCTTCAAGCACAAACAGCTTCAAGACCGGATCTTTCACAATAGATGGGATGTCATTTGATCGGTGCCACTTGACCTCGTACCATAGACAAAGTTTGACATGGTTCACGTGAGCCCAAAAGTTAATTGCTGACACAAGCTGTCAACCACTTGGTACTTTTGCCAGTACTTTTATCACCTACTTCAAGTCAGTAACAGCAGATCTATAGCAAATGATCTCTCTTCTTTATTTAGCCAGTTCAATTTCATTTCAAAATGTTACAGAAATTCATCATGAGGGAAAACACTGTAGAAATTGGGACTCCCTAACCTGCCTATGGGTTTCGACCGCAGTTAGAAGAGCTTCATGAGTTTCTCTTGGATCTTCAATGTTCCTCACTAAAAAGCTGTTGTTAAACTATTTGAGAAGTGAGAACAAAGGGCCAAACTGTGGCAACTACAAAGGATCCCTGTACTTGCAGAAGGATCTCTTGCAGGTACAACTCAGATAATACTTGAGCGAATGCATCACTCAGTTCAGTCATATCCTGTGGGCATATTCATCAATACTTGTTTGAATCACAGGGTTCACCAAGATGAGGTCGTCTAATGCCTTGAAGATTGTGTAGTTAAAGATTGCACAAGATGCAGTGTCTTTTCAGTAGTCGTGATGCACCACCAAAACAGAATTTGGAAGCTGTAACTCGAAAATCTGTTCTCATTATTGGTGAACTTGCAGGTAGTTTGAGCGAGCATTACATAGGCAACGACACAGGAGTCGTATCTTGTACATGTCTCGGGTGTCTAGTACTTCAGCCCAAATATCCCGTACGCCACCAACACGCCCGTACAACCATTATATATAAATATAACATATACAAAATAATAAACTAAAATTAACAAAATCAAAGATATAAAAGTTAAGATATAAATTTATTGTTTGCAAGCAAATTAAAATAGGGAAAATTACCAAAAACCCCCAAGACTATACTTTCTATGCAACTTACCCCTAACCGAACTTTTTCTCACTTTTTTCCCAAAAATACACTTTCAATGCAAATACCCCCAACCAAATAAAAAATAAAAAAATGCTTAAACTACCCTCCCTTACTTTTACCTTACCCATGCCTATCCTTTCCTCTGTGTAAGTGCGCTCCGCCAGTGCAACACTTTGGAGTCATAGCGCTCTGACACTATCTATGTGCGCTCCGGCACTGTGTAAGTGCGCTCCGGCAGCGCAATCTGGAGTCACAGTGCTCCGGCACTGTGTATGTGCGCTCTGGCAATAGATGTGCACTCCGGCACTGCATAAGTGCGCTTCGACAATGCAACACTCTAGAGTCACAACGCTCCAGCACTGTCTATGTACGTCCGGCACTATGTAAGTACGCTCCGGTAGTGGAATCTGGAGTCACAACGCTTCGGCAGTAGATGATGCACTCCGGCACCGTGTAAGCGCGCTCCGGCAGTGCAACACTTTGTGTACGAGAAGGGAATTTCTGTCTAAACAAATGAACTTTTTCCCTTGGGGGGGTATTTGCATAGAAAGTGTTTTTTGGAAAAAAGTGAGAAAAACTTAGGTTGGGCATGAATTGCATAGAAAGTGTGGTCTTTGGGGTTTTTTGTAATTTTCCCATTAAAATATATACCCTTATTTTATGCAAAAACTATATTTTGCATAATACATGTTGAACATCTTCCATAATAGAACCATTTATAATTTCATATATCTATTATGGTGCAAGTTTGGATCCAACAAGATGCAATTTAAATTTTAAAATAAAAACCACAATCAAAATCTCAACAATATGACATTAGTAAATACATATATCAAATATATGCATATGCATGTATAATACAACATTTTATTAAATATTTTTTTAATCTAGTACATTAATATTTAAATATTTTCAATTTCCAATTTCAACAAATGTGTTGTGCATGAGAAAGAACTTTTTATTAGTCCCTTTAATATTTTATATAAGAGAGTTCTTTAATTTAACCAATGCACAACATCCTAAATTCATTCAAGTTGAGTTTTCAAGAAACAAATGCACTGCCATGACTAATAAATGCATTCTTGTGCACTTTTCCCAATGACAAGTTGGGGGTTCGAGCCCCACCAGAGGTCAGCCTTCTTAACTAATACAAGAAAAAGAGAAAAGAAAAAAGATTCTGTGTCTAGATATCAGACATGTTGGTTATACATGTTTACATAGTGTCGTCGCAATAAAGTTCATGACAGGTATGAATAATGTTGATAGTATGTCTGGCTGCGTCGACACATGATACAGGAAAAAAATGAGGTGTCTATGTTACACTGGTTCGAGCATTTGAAGCGGTGTGGAAGACAGTACTAAAGCAGTGAAAGGCTTCTCAATGATTTAGACTGAGTTGAACTGCTTTACCACAGTTCAATGCCTAGAATTGCCCTCTAACCTCATAAGACACTGTTCTAATAGAGGTCGAGATCTGATTCAACTTCCTGCTGTTTTTGACTCTCAGTGTAACTCTGACCGTGACTTATCACTCTTGTGAGTTTTGACCACAATTAAGGCCTGAGAAAGAGTACACCAGAAAAATCGTCATCCATCTCCGGTTGGCCGGCTGATAAGATCACTAAGATTGACGAGCCAGCTGGGTTGGTGTTGCTATTCCTTTCAAGGAGTCTTAGCTATCTGCGCGAGCGACCTTCTCCTAGGCTCCGAGTCACCTTCTAAGCTCCACTTGATGACATGGCATGCTTGTTCAATCAAATCGAATATAGGCCAGCCGTACTAGTGATGGTCCCTTGGAGCAAACATTCTCACCAAACTCTACTGTCAAAGCACGTTGACAGAACAATTTTTGTTGAAAGCTCGAGCAATCAAAATCAACAACAACAGAGGGAAGCTGAATATTGACAGATCTCAGGCAAAAGACAATAACAAGCAGAAATTTCCCTGCTTCTATCATGAAACCAGGTCACTCCAACTCTAGTGATTATTATGGCCCCATGCTGCTATTAAAGAAAGCTCCTATGGTTGAGGATATGATGATAAGGCAAATTGACCAAGAATCCTCACAAAGGAAACTCAATTTGTGCCGGAGTTGACTAAGGTCCTTTGTGTATGCTGGCATGTATTCTAGAACCACATGGATACATGGATATAGATAGGGCACATTGCCCATGATTTAGACAGATATTTTGCCCAATCGTTGTGCTGGAATGTTATATTTCTCTTCTCTAACTCAAACTAAAAAATGTATCAAAGCAAGACTTCACACCCTAATGTGTCTGTTGTTTTTCAGCAAATCTAGAATTAAGATTTGCCTCTCTTCCTAGGCTTGAAGTTGTGGTGTATCAGCATCTGCATCTGTAAACCATCTCTTCCGATTCACTTCTTCTGCATCTTGGATCACTGATTCAGGGGCTACTAATTATATGATCAGCAAAAAAGTTGGTTTTTGTCCCTTTTCTCCCATTCCAGTGCCTCTGATGATGGAACATACAAGCTTTTGTCCTCCTTGTTCTTACCCTCTATAACAATGCCCTCTTTTCCTTCCAATCTTTTCTCTAATAGCAGCCTGATAAAAAAATTAAACTGCAATTTAACATTCTATTCCTCACATTGTGTTTTTGAGGAACTGAAAACGAGGAAAGACTATTGGTGGATGTCATGAAGTAATATATTGGAAGAGTTTGGGGAAAAATAATATTTTGAAAAGGGAGGGGAATAATACTTTATGCATCCCCAATGGGCGTCGCTTGGTTCTTCACGCATATGCAGAATAGATTGATGTCCATTTCTCTCTTTCTCTCTCTCTCTCTCTCTCTCTCTCTCTCTCTCTCTCTGAATTAAGATAGTGAATGCGTGAAAGCCCCTTCATGCATACCATTAATATGACCCTTTAAACAACTATTCCCCACCCCCCTCCTCCTCTTTTATCTTTTGGGCAGCCCAAGCAATGGAATTCATTTTTCTGAACATTGCTGCAAACCATCGAAAGGTTGGATATCAGCTTTCATGAGGCAGAATACACTAGGTTAAATCAATCAAGAAAATAAAAAAGAACCTGCCAAAATATATGTTAGACTAGATATAAAAATAACGTTACAATATTGATAGAAAATAATTGCTTCTTACAAGCCTCCGATAAAAACTCATTCCAAGATGATATAGTGAAATCTGAAATCACATTTACCATCATAAGTCTCTTGTGCTCAACCTGTCTTCTTCCCAAAATTACGCAAATCACAACGGATAGGCAACATCCTTCTTGGCTCTCTTCTTTCTCAAACCAATGGTGGTTATCTTATTCAGTTAGGGGTTGGCCTATTCAGTATGTGCCAAAAGCTGTAACTGCTGAAAGGCTCGCTAAGGCAATGGAGTAAAAATCTGCTTGAGAATTCTGGTCACATGGTCCACACTAAAAGAGATAAGGAATTTGGACTCAGTAGATGAAAGCAAAGATCTTACACAGGAGGAAAGAGATAGAAGAACCAACGCATAACTAGATTCCACTCTATCCTCAAACAAGATCTTC